TAGCCGTCATGATCAAGCAGAAATATGTTTAACAGCTTTCAGAGCGGGGAACTGAGGAGGGGAATAGAAAAATAACAACCTCATAGAATAAGGCTTCCCTTAAACTGTGTTAACGATGTCCAGGTTTTAAAAAGGGTGTAGAGGGGTTGGGGGTGAGTGCAGGTGAGGGCCAAGACTACAGCAGTAGCCAGGCAGAGCCCCCCCCCCCCAAGGCTCCCTCGTCACAGTGGGGAGGGAGAGGAGGTGTGATGACATCCAGGTGCCCTGGAAGCTAGAGCTGAGAAAGAAAGAGGCTCAGTAGCCTTGACACTGCTTCCAAGTGTGCGCCCATAGCCCTTCCTTCCCAGCGGTCTGTGTAACACTCCGCGGCACCTTGGTTGCAGTCAGGATGCATTCAGTGCTTGCCAGGCAAACACCTAGCTCTGCTTCTTTGTCCAGGGATAGCCAGGCTTTATTCTTTTATTTGCTGACTTAGACCTAGGTGACACTGCAGATGTCAAGACTCAACACTCAAGCACAAGGAGGCTCTCGCCTGGGCCCTCAGGTAGTCTTAGCTGTGAACATGATGTTCTTGGAGTTGTTTTTCTCATAGCTCTGGGCTGCTTTCAAATATTTCTCCGTTCAGACATCATTGGTATTTAATCTGGAAGGCCATCTGTTCTGCTAGCCTGGGACCTGGCCTCTGAGATAGGTGAGGCTCATTTCTTTATATTTTTAGCTTTTAGTCACTTTCTTATGGTTGAACAATTAATCTTGATACTAAGTGAAACAACTTACCTCAAGTCTCTCTGGTCATGTGAGAGATGTTGAGGTTTTCCTGCTAGCGCTGAAGATAGGTGTTTTTGTGTTCTGCCTGTGGGGGAAACCCTATAATGGTAAGTCAACATGCAGGCGCCTGAAAAAGTTTGCACATTGTTTTTGGAGTCCCAAGCTGTAAGTTTTTCCCACCGTGATTCATATGCACATATAAAGCTGGCCCATGGCTGGCCTCCAGCCCACATGGGGTTAGTGCCAATTCCAAACGCAGAGAATGAAGACACTCATGCTCCATCATCCATCATTTCTTTCCTATGAACCTTACAGGCTGGATATTGAAAAATCTGGATTTGATTTTTTTTTTTCAAGGCAACCGACTAGCTGGTGCACATGGTTAGAGAGTGTTTGCAGTGTTGACTCAGAACTTGAAAACTCGAAGTCAGCCATTTCAACACTGTTCTTATTTCTTCTTAATCAGATTTGGAACATTCTTTTGGCAGGTTGTGTTCCTCACCGGCTTTGGATATGTGTACGTGGACATTGCCCACCAGTGTGGCACGGTCATCATCACCTTAGCCCCAGAAGGAAAGGCAGGACCCATTTTAACTGGCACCCACAGGTGGGTCCGTTTCCTAGCAGTAGTGCAGTGTCTGTCTTCGATAATGTTGTGAACCTGCTAGATACCACTCTTGTTGTCACACACACACACTCGCTCACACGCACGCGTACACACACACACACATGCACACACGCACACACTCACACTGGAGTTTCTGATTAATTATCATGTAATCCACATGTAAAGATTTAGTTGTTAAATTCCTCCAGCATATGTAGATGATAATAATAATGTCTTTCTTGAGTCTCCCTGTTCTATGTAAGTTCAGTAAACTGAATGGTACCATTATATGTAATATAAAGTGTAAGCTAGTATCTCTAAATCCACATAACAACTTTGTAAACAACTAGACTTCCCAGTTAAACTGTCAATAAATTTAAACACACAAGCCCTGCCACCATTCTTTAAAACATGAGTCAAGGAGGCTGGGGAGAGTCTCAAAGGGTAAAGTAGCTGTGCAAGCATGAATACCTGAGTTCAGCATCCAATAAGAGCCGAGTGTGGCATCATGGGACTATGAATACAGTGCTAAAAGACTGGAGACCCTATCTTAAAAAATAAGGTGTAGAGGGGACAGCAAGATGGCTCCCAGATAGAAGTTCATGCCACTAAGTCTAATGACCTGAGTTCCATCCCCACATCTTACATGGTAGAAAAAGAGAACCAATTCATGCAAGTTAGCCTCTTAACCTACACACATGAACCAAAGCATAAGGATTCATCCCCAATAAAGTAATAAAAATATAAATCATGCAAATAAGTAATATCCTTAACTTAAAACAATCATGTACTTAAATAGAAATAATGTAAAGATAGCCCCTTCTCCAAAAACAAAAATAGGGATGAAGGACATGAAGAGAAAATTATTGGAAGAGGAAATAGAAATAAGATAGGACCTATGAAATTAACAGTTTGTTTCATCATATACAGTTGTCATAGACAAGTAATTGGTACAATTTTCTTGAACACGCTTTCAACCTGGGGGCAAATGCCCCTTTCACAGGGGTCACATGTCAGATAGTCTACATATCAGATATTTACATTATGATTCATTACAGTTATGACGTAGCAACAAAACTTATGGTTGGGGGTCAGCATAACAGGAGGAACTGGGTGAAAGGGCCTCAGCATTAAGAAGGTTGATGGCCACTGACTTAGAAATTCTACTGTGAAAAATTTGAGCTCAGAAAATAATGAAAACAACATGAAAGGGTATACACAGAGTTGGTTATTTCATTGTTAGCTACAGTGACATAATATTGAGAGTACAAATGCTTATCAAATATACAAAAATCATAGGATACAGGTGTTAATGGTTGCAGTGGAACAGACGCATATGTGTGAACAGACACTGATATTTTTAGACAACACTGGAAGAGAAAGAAAAATTCGACATTAGTAGATATAGGTTTTTAAGTGCTTGTTTAATAATTTCTTTTTGGACAGATTTTTCTTTGGACTGCCAGCTCACCAAAAAACTAACATGGAGACATTAATTATGAAAGTTTGGCCTTAGTTTAGGCTTGTTTTTAACTAGCTCTCATAACTTCAGTGAACCCATTTCTATTAATCTACGTGCTATCACAAACTACCCATCCTTCTCTCCCTGCGTCTCCTTACATATCTCTCATGCACCTAGATTCCTCCTCCTCTCTCTCCCTGCCCAGCATATCTGCCTATACTTCCTACCTAGCTATTGGTCATTCAGCTGTTTATTACACCATCACAGCAATATACCTTAATACAATGTACAAATAGCCCACATTCCCCCCTTTGTCTAAATAGAAAGGAAACATTTTAACTCTAACATAGTAAAACATATACAATAAGAACAATTACCAAGTAAATATATTCACAATGTCCAGTCTGTTAGTATTGGCAAGTTCAGAGAAAATATTCCAGTATCTATCCTATCTTGTGAGTCCAGAATTTTCTACCTAATTTACTTTTTATCCTGACTTGTATTACCAACCCAAAACGATCTTTGTAGACCTCAAAACATTTTATTAAATAAACAGTTTAAGCTTTTATGTCTCTCAACCTCATACCTCTTTTGTGAGTATCTTTTCTGAACTTGGTAACAAGCAAAACTGTAACTATAACTATGTAGTCTTCAATTCAATCAGAATCCCTAGAAGGGATTCACAGAAACTGCAGAACAAACAACTTCCCCAAAACTATAGAAATGACAGAAACAGCAGCTGCTTGCATAGTCACCCAAGCTTCCTCTGCAACACTGGGGCATCTGTCTTCAGCCTACAGGCCTAGAATACCTGACAGACTCTTCTGTGAAGCGGAAATTTTGAAGGACTGTCCCACTTTGTCTTGTCAAAGTTTGGCAGTCACCTTCTTTTGTGTCCTGCTTGTCTAATTTGGACAGCATATTGTCAGCAGTTTCTTGCCCAGTGTGATTTTTACCACAGTAAAAGCAAACTCCATATGGAGGTTCTTCAATGGCCGTCATCCTTTTCTGAAGTAAATTGGTGCTGCCAGGAGCAGACATTTCTCACTGTCATGAAAAGCCTTATGTTATTAGAACATTTAATGCCATATTCTGTAGATCTCTGAAGTGTTTGAAGACCATCTGTCTATCTAAAATATATCTGTTTGACCTTGAAAATATACCTAACCTGGACACAAATGTGATTGATTAGATAACTACATTTAGATTATTTGATTGTTAAATGACTAAGTACAAATCTATCTTTCTTAATTATATATTACATTTTTAAATGAGCTGCATAGGTACAATATCTTAAACAAGAGTAGAAACATATACAGTATAACAGAAATAACCATAAATTTGTATCAATATACAAAAATAATCTTAAACAAGAGTTGAAACATATAGAGTATGTTCTAACAAAAATAACCTTAAATTTGTGTCTATATGCAAAAATCCATACCAATGTAAAATATATGAGATTAATAATTGCTTTTTAGTTTAAAGTAGATTCAGTAATCTGCCCTTTATCCTATCCTTTGCATATCCCCCTTTTTCTTTTCACCAGGAAGGATGTATGTCCTGGGAGAGGGGGCTCCTAACAGCTACAGGTGATACAGAGATGAAATTCTGCTTTTGCGCTAGTGACCTTGATACTGGGTGGATTTGTCAGACTGGGGAGCACAAGCCTACTTGCAGCAAGCTCCAGAGAACAGAAAGGGACAAATCAGAGACACTGTGTGGGAATGCATAGTGTTTACTAAAGAGGCTAGAGAATTGGGAAGGAGGTAGGGTAGAGAAGTGAGGTTGTAACAGGGCTGTTTGCTCATGGCCGTGCACTGACTGTACTGGAGAGGGAGGAAATGTGGGACACATGGCACTCTAGAGTGATGGCTTTGAGCAGGTGAGTGGGGGTTGTCAGAGTGCCACAAAGAGGGCCTGGACCCGGCAGGGGACTCTTCAGCTCTAGAAGTGGGAACAGGGATGGCAGAAGACACTTGCGCATAGTGGTCCTAGGTACATGCTGAGCTGAGATTTCCTCTTGCTCAGCTTATCTTCTTTAACATAAGGACTTGTTTATTTTTCTTTCTGCCATGATCATCATAACAGAGAATTAGTACACAAAAATGAGGAATTTGGAGTAAAAAAAGGAATCTGGCATTGATAAGAGAAAACACATACAAAAACATGACTAGAACTTGTAATAGTCCCAATGGGAATGTTTCCCAATAATCTTCAAGCGAAGCTGGCTCTGTCCAGACATGCACTGAAAGTTGAGTTCTTACTTGTTTTTTATGAGCATCTGTCCCATCATGGGGTACGCAGTGAGGCACTGTCCTTAAAAAAGAAACCAGAGACACTAATGAGCTTTGCCCTTCCTCTAGAGCCCTGGAGAAGATGGTCACTTTTAAAATGTTCATCACCCGCTTGAGCTTGGCAGTGTCTGATGACCTAACACACCACAAGACGCCGTCCGAGCTTGTAAGGCTCACTCTAGACAACATTTTTCTCCACGTGTGTCCTGTGCCTGGCATCCTCCCAGGGGAAGAGCCTCCCTCTACCCTCCTCCAGCTTTTCAGGGTGGAAGTCTACTTCGGGGACCTGCAGCTGGACAACCAGCTTTATAACAAGTCCAACTTCCACTTCGCTGTCTTGGTGTGCCAGGGAGAGAGAACGGACCCAGTTCAGTATTCCAGGGTGCAGAGTCTCCTGACGTCCAACAAGGACTTGGAGGAATACAAGGAGAGCTGCTTCATCAAACTCTGCCTCACTGCATCTGAGGGCACGGACTTCCTCTTTGATGTCAGCGAGTTCTCTTTTGAACTGAAACCAGCACGGCTCTACGTGGAGGATACCTTTGTATACTACATCAAAACTTTGTTCGACACCTACCTTCCTCACAGCAGGTCGGCTGGTCACGATGCACAGCTCTCTGCAGGTGGGCAGACGCTGCCCGTGCAGGTGAGGCAGCACGCCAGGGCCTTGGTGAACCCAGTAAAGTTACGGAGGCTGGTCATCCAGCCAGTGAGCCTACTTGTCAGCATCCACGCGTCTCTCAAGCTGTACATTGCCTCCGACCACACCCCTCTCTCCTTCTCTGTGTTTGAAAGAGGACCAGTGTTCACAACGGCAAGGCAGCTGGTACACGCGCTGGCCATGCACTATGCTGCTGGGGCTCTCTTCAGAGCAGGTGAGGATGCAAGTGACGGGTCTGTGTGTTAAACAGCACAGGGAAAGCATGCTCACTACACATCTAACTCTGGTGCTGTAAGGCTTGGGTGACAGGGAAAGCATGCTCACTACACATCTAACTCTGGTGCTGTAAGGCTTGGGTGGCCATGGCACCTCCCTGGGCCCTGGTGTAAGGCTGTCTGCATAGGTCCCCCTTTCTAAGAAGTTGTTTGAAAATAATCTGTAATACTCCAAAGTGAATAGATGTGTGTATCTACAAACTACTCCAGACACTTAGCCTTCTGGGAGATTGGCTTGTGGCAGCTCCAACCAAAGGCAAGGAAGGAGGAAGTCACAGCTGACACCAGACTAAGAAGATGAGCTGTGCCCAAGTAGCCATGGCCTCTGGAGCCTTTGTGCTGAGCTGATCGCCTTGATTTACTGGGTGGGGTCTCCTGTGAACATTCTCTTGGGCTTTTTTCTAATTCACTCAAAAACCCTGTGATTATCTGTTTCGTATATAGCAGGAAAGAGATTCTAATACCAAAAACGGGCTTTTTAGAGCTGTTGGAAACATTGTCACTAGAACCCTATAGTCACCCTGAATATTACCTGAAGAAAGCATTCTTTGGAGGAGTGGGAAACAGAAAAATCACAGTGAGGGCAGCTGACGGGTCTAAGGATAATGGACTAGCTTTCTTGCAGAGAGAGGGTGAGGGCTGCCTGGGAGGATGCAGGTTGTATCCATCTCAGGGGTCAGCATTCGCCCATTGGACTCAAGAAGGTTCCTGGCTGGGATAGTTGAAAACACCCTGACCTCATTTCTAGGGAAGTTTGTGAAGTAATTTGAAGAGTCTTTAAAAATAAATAACTGCTAACTAGAAATGAGTAACCCTATTCCGAGGGAGGAATGTGGCTTGAGAATTTCCCAAGGTCCTTGCCTACCTCCAACTCTCACCCTCATACTAGGCCAGATAGACTCAGGTTATCAAAATTTCCAACCAGCTGAGCCAAAGATCTGCATATGGCCCTCTGTATTCTTGAGTTCAACTGACTCTAGCCTGAAAACACTGGAAGAATGTCATATGAACTAAACTTTTGTTCCTGACATTGTTCTCTTTAACAGAATAAAGAGATCAGCAAGATGGCCAGCGGCCCGCCCAGTAGGTAAAGGTGGAAGGAGAGAACTGACTCTTAAAAGTCTCCACAAGACTTGTGGAAACTTTCGGTCTCCAAAAAACTTGTGGAGACTTTCGGTCTCCACAAGAGTGCTGTGGCCTTTGCACACGTGTACACACACACACACACACACACACACACACACACACACACACACAGAGAGAGAGAGAGAAATAAGTGGATGCAATAAACATCTTTAAAGTCTGCACAAAAGCATTTTGTGCAGCCTTTCCATTATACTCAGTATTACACAGTCCAGAGTTGGTTTCCGTATACTGGGTAACTGAAGAGGTTCAGTGACTGGACATCTTTGGACTTCAGTGCCTACAGGGTCCTATGCCTGGTGGATGCTGAGGGACCACTTCATTTGCTTTTGAGGAAAGCCAATGAAGAGTATCCTTGGATCCTTTGCCTTTTCTGTCCAGCACAGATGCCACTAAGTTGCATTTCACTCCATAGACAGCTCTCTGGTTGCATCAGGGTTCACTGACCATAGCAGAGGAAATGTCAGCATCACCCTTCATCTGGCTAGAAAGAATAGGAAAGGAATCCCAGTAGCTGGGTGGGAGCTAAGAGACAGGGCGGGGCCGGACCCCGCTTTGTTCCCAGATTTCCAAATCTGAAGCAGCGGTCATGGTGGTCAGTGCTTGACAGATACGTCAAGGGAAACCAATGTTTCTGAACCATCCCTCAGGTGGAACCTTATGTTCATTCTAGACTAAGGAAAATTTCCTTTTCTTAACCTCCACAGAGTACCTTTCAGGAATAACTTCTTCCACATTACCCTACATTTTTGGGGTGGGGGGGGGACAAGGATCAAGTAAACTAAACTAACATAAACCATACTCCCATGTCCAGTCAGCCAGAGATTGTGAGTGTGTGACATAATCTTAGCTGTAGTGTCCTCTGCTTCCTGGCCAGTGGAGATACAATCCCACACCACCAAGTGAGACTGGCATCTGCCTCCCGCATCCATAGCGCTCAGAGCCCAGCTCAGAGGTCAGGGGACATTTGTACTGTTTGCCTTGCTGCTCGCAAGGTTCTGTGAGCAATGCGTTGCCCCAGTGTGACCACTCCCCATGTGACTGAAGTCCATCTTGTTCTAATTGTTCCAGAGAGAAAGGCTCAAAATGTATGGGCATCCTTCTTTCTCTGCCTGGATAGTGACCTGGGGACTTGGGATTCCTCTTGGTGACTTAACTGTGGATCTCTGCCACTGAGGCTGGAAGTTGAGGGAGGGAACAGCTCCCACGTGGTTTCTGTCCTCACAGCTTTCCCAGTAAAAAGGCCACAGTCCTGGGCTGGTGCCCGAAGCTTCCTGGAGGAAGTTGCTTTTTCACTTCATCCCCACCTGACCCTGGAGTCCTCTGGGCTTACAGTCTCTCTCCACTTACAGCCCCCCACCCCACCAGGCGGAAGGGGTAAGGCAGCTGCTGTGGGCGACACATTCCCACAAGGCAGAAGGCGGTGCAGGCCACTCTACAGGCCAGCTCCTGGCAAGCCTGAGTTTAAAGAGGAAACCAAACCCTAACCCACCCTCCGGGGACGCTGGTGGGGAACGCTTCCCTCTCACTAACCTAATCATATGTCCCTGTCACTGATGTTTATACAACTGAAGCTGGGGTTGAAGGGGAGACATTTGTTCGCTCCAGCCTGGCACTCAGAGAAGCACTCAGCCTGATAGGATTGGGAAAGATTAAAAATAACTCCTCCATCCTTGGCAAAAGTTTGCATCCCTTTTGCAACACTCTATTTTGCATCTGGCTGCTCCCCACCAGGCAGCTTCTGCTGCTGCTCTGCCCTGGCAGGTTGGGACTTCCCAGCCCGTGAGCACCTGCAGCCCAGAGCTCCTGCCTGCCTGAGCTGGGGGTGTTCTCTGCACATGTTCCCTTCACAGGAGTGCAGGAAGCTTAGACACAGAAGTCATATTAAAGCCATTTGCAAGGCTGCCAGAGGATCAGTGTGATTTATAAAGTATGAAAGTTCACCATTTATGAATTCACAGAGAATGAGTTATTTCCCATGTTTTGCTCTAGAAAAGCTTATGACACCCTCTGTTCTCGTGTGGGAGGGAATTTCGGGGAAAATGGGCCACTTCTCACAAACCCTGAAGGCACTGAACTCGGAGTGTCAATAATGCCTTCCCTTTGTGTGTTGCAGGCTGGGTGGTGGGGTCTCTGGAAATCCTCGGCAGTCCCGCCAGCCTAGTGAGAAGCATTGGAAATGGGATCTCGGACTTCTTCAGGCTTCCCTACGAGGGGTTGACTCGTGGCCCAGGGGCCTTTGTGAGTGGAGTCTCCAGAGGGACCACATCGTTTGTCAAGCACATCTCCAAAGGTAGCTGTGGATGGAGGGCCTTGCCAGGCCTTGTCTTGTCTTTCAACTGTTCGGGCTTTTCAATTTATTTTCCAAGCCTCTAGCTTCTGATGTTGTTTGCTTGCTGTGAAATGCTGAGCTTGCAGCATGATGATGCTTTAGGTTTTAAGCAAGCCATAGCTTGCCTGTATTGTATGAAAATGTCCCAGAAACATGAGGGTTTTAACCCTCTCATGGGGAACGCCCTGACCGGCTGACCGTTATTGCATGCCATAAATGTGGGAAGACTGAGTCCATGATTTCCACTAAGCATCAGGAACTCAGTTGTCTTCTCGTGTCTTTAAAATGTAGACATAGTTGTCATAACTCCTTATGCACATGAATACATTGCGATGGGGAAGCTGATTCCTAGCCCAGCTTCACCCCAGCTCCCTGCATACACAGTGCCATCTTGTGGTCCAGGCAAGTCACCAGGCTTGGAGGCTGAACTGCTTCCCTCCAGGAGAATGTTGTCTTCTAATCCAGTGTTTGCCTGATATTTTGCTCAGGTTGGCAGTGACTGGGGAACTAACAAGGGCCATCTGAGTCCCCTTTGCTTCCCAGCGGGAGGCAGAGAAAACAGGGCAAAGGCCTCCTTTCTCATAAAAGGCATTTTACTGTAGACAATGCCATAACTCTGTTATGAGTGGGCAGGTTATGGAAGTCTCTAGAAGGCCTCAAAAGAAGACTTAAGCTTGAAATATGAGAACCCATGATCCATAGACAGGATAGGGGCTATGGGTGGGGATTGGCAAGAGAACAGCAAAAGCAATAAAAACAAATTCCATGGACAATGAAAGGGAGGGAGCCTCCCCAGCCCCAGGTCCCAGGAGACTCATGTGTGCCTGGTGGGATATTTGCTCCTGCCATGCAATCGCTAAGATTCTCTTGTTTCTATTACAATGTGACGTCAAGTACCTACTAAATTGAATCTCAGTGGTAAATATAGCATTCCAACCAGAGTTTACTGTTGTCCTCCTTTCTTAGCAAAATCTGAAGGGTGTGTGTGCACTCACGTGCATGTGTGTACATGTGTGCTCGTGCACACATCTGTGCATGTCTGTGTTCAGACCACAGATAGATGGTAGCTGCAGAAATTACATATGCCATTTCTTCTCCATTGGTGTCTTCCTTCCGGTTCTGCTAACTATCATACATATGTACTTGCTGGAGGGGTAGGACTATTAGAGCATGGGGCTGGAGTTGTCTGTCTTAGGAAAACCAATCAGAATCCTTGCTTAGGTCCCTTTGTTGCCTTTTCCATCAGTCAGCATCTTGATTATCAAAACTACATAAATTTCTTTAGTTAATAATTGTTTCCTTG